GGGGCCAATGCCACCCCAAGTGTGGCTGTGAATCATGTACCTGATGTCGTGGGTAAGAGTGACCCCTGGTCTCGAATCTGCCTGGCCCATCTATTCCAGATCCAAGTATTCCTGTTCCAGCTGCGGTAGAGGGTGCTACCATCCCTTCCGCTGATATTCCTGATCTTGATGAAATTCCAGCTTCCGGTCCCGGGGTTTCTGATGGGGACCTTAGAGGAGCCATCCATATGTTGACCCAGTTAGTGGCCGCTCAGGCCCAGAAATCTCATGATGCCCTTGCGCCCCCCAACGAACAGGGAGATTCCGCCAGCTCTAGAGTCAACCAGTTTCTGCGGTTGGCCCCTCCAGAGTTCACGAGCACAGACCCAGAGGCCGATCCGTAGGAATTCCTTGATGAAATGTATATGACCCTTCGAGTGATGAAGGCTATAGAGACGGAAGGGGTTGAGTTGGCTTCATACAGGTTGAGGGGAGCAGCGTATTCGTGGTTTGAGATGTGGGAGGATTTCTGTGGGGAGGGAAGACCTTCGGCTAGATGGGATGAGTTTGTAGATGCATTCATGTACCACTTCTTGCCTACCGAGACAATGGTGGCCCATGCCACAGAGTTTGAGGTCCTCAAGCAGGGCAGTATGAGTGTTTGGGAGTACCACTTGGAGTTTGTGAGGTTGTCCAAGTATGCTCCTCAATTAGTGTCGACCATGGATGCTCGAGTTCGGCGATTCTTTCAGGGTCTTAGTCCTTTGGTGGTGAATGAGGCTGCTACAGTGGCCTTACACTCAGATATGAATTATGGGAATTTTGTGGGGTTCGCTCAGGCCACAGAGGCTAGGAAGTTGAAAATACGGGCAGAAAGGGAGAGTAGCAGCAAGGACCGATCAGGGGGTCACTCAGGGAGACGAGTTCCGGGGAGAGGGCCATCAGGGTCGTCCCAGTCATATGCCCAGTCCTCAGCAAGCGCACCTCCATCTGTGCACCGTTATCAGCAGGGCAGTCATTTGAGATTAGGTTCAGACAGTAGGAGACCGTATCATTCCGGTCGTCCAGGAGGGAGATCACAACAGCAAGGGAGGGCTTCATGCCCCATGTATGGGAGGTTCAATTCCGAGACTTGTTATTTGGATATTTCGGTGTGTAATAGATGCGGGGTGAGAGGTCATATCCAGCGGGATTGCCGTGCGCCCAGTCAAGGCATGGGTGGGGGATTTGCTTAGTCATCCAGTTCTTCAGCTGCCACATCATCCGTGCGTCCTCCAGCCCTAGTAGGGCGCGATGTAGTTAGGGGTGGAGCTTGTGGTAGAGGTGTATCCAGCCGGTTTTACACCTTGAGTGGTCGCCAGAGTGCAGAGGCCTCCCCAGATGTTGTTATAGGTATCTTGTCTATTCAGGCCATTGATTGTTATGATCTTATTGATCCGGGGTCTTCTTTGTCTTATGTCACCCCATTCATTGCTTCAAGTTTTGGGGTAAAACCTTAACAACTTCATAAGTTGTTCTCTGTATCGACTCCGATTGGTGATTCTATTACAGCCACACGAGTTTATAGGAATTGCGTTGTCATGGTATGTGGTCGTGCTACCATGGCCGATCTTATTGTGCTTGAAATGGTGGATTTTGATGTGATTATGGGAATGGACTGGCTTTATTCGTGCTTTGCTAAACTTGACTGCCGAACGAGAGTCATGAGGCTTGAGTTCCTTAATGAGCCGGTTATTGAGTGGAAGGGAAATGGTGTGGTGCTGAAAGGTAGGTTTATTTCCTACCTTAAGGCTTCGAAGATGATTAGGAAGGGGTGTATCTACCATTTGGTCCGGGTGGCGGACACCACTTCAGAAGTGTCTGTCCCCGAGTCTGTGCCAGTCGTGAATGAGTTTCTTGAAATTTTTCCGGACGAGCTTCCAGGGATCCCGCCGGATAGGGAGATTGATTTCGAGATTGATGTATTGCCTGATACGCAGCCGATATCTATTCCACCATACAGAATGGCGCTAGCGGAATTGAGGGAGTTAATGGAACAGTTGAAGGATTTATTAGAAAAGGGGTTCATACGGCCAAGTGGGTCACCATGGGGTGCCCCGGTTCTTTTTGTCAGAAAGAAGGATGGGTCGCTCCGGATGTGTATTGATTATCGGCAGCTTAACAAGGTCACCATCAAGAATAAATATCATTTGCCTCGGATAGATGATTTGTTCGACCAATTGCATGGTGCGAGGTTCTTTTCCAAAAATGATCTATGGTACGGGTATCACCAATTGAAGATCAGAGAACAGGATATTCCTAAGACCGCTTTCAGAACTCGCTATGGTCACTTTGAATTCTTGGTCATGTCTTTTGGGCTAACCAATGCCCCGACAGCTTTCATGGATCTTATGAATCGGGTCTTCAAGCCATTTCTAGACTCCTTTGTGATTGTTTTCATTGATGACATCCTTGTTTATTCGTGGAGCCGGGAGGATCATGCCGATCACCTCAGGGAAGTTCTGCAGACCCTTTATCAGCACCAGTTGTATGCTAAATTTTCAAAATGTGAATTTTGATTGGAGTCTGTTACCTTTCTTGGCCATGTTGTTTCCAGTGAAGGGATTCAGGTGGATCCCCAGAAGACTGCAGTAGTAAAGGATTGGCCTAGACCCACGACCCCGACGGAGATACGTAGCTTCTTGGGTTTAGCGGGGTATTATCGGAGGTTTGTGGAGGGATTCTCTACCCTCGCCTCCCCTTTAACTAGGTTGACGCAGAAAGCAGTTAAGTTCCAATGGTCCAATGTTTATGAGAAAGGTTTTCAGGAATTGAAGTCGAGATTGACCTCGGCGCCGATATTGACCTTGCCAGAAGGCACAGAAGGATTTGTGGTTTATTGCGATGCCTCTAGGGTCGGTTTAGGGTGTGTGTTGATGCAACATGGAAAGGTTATAGCGTATGCTTCAAGGCAACTCAAGAATCACGAGAAGAATTATCCGACGCATGATTTGGAGCTTGCGGTAGTTGTATTTGCCTTGAAAATATGGTAGCATTATCCTTATGGGGTCCATGTGGATGTGTTCTCGGACCACAAGAGTCTCCAATATTTATTCAAGCAGAAGGAGTTGAATTTAAGGCAGCGGCAATGGTTAGAATTGATCAAGGATTATGATATGGATATTTTATACCATCCAGGGAAGGCGAATGTGGTGGCCGACGCTATCAGTCGGAAGTCCATGGGTAGTTTGGCTCATTTGGGAGCGGATCAGAGGCCTTTGCCTCGGGAGGTTTATCAATTGGCCAGTCTGGGGGTTCGTATTTCGACCTCAGACGAGGGGAAGGTTATGGTGCGTAATGGAGCAGAATTGTCGCTGGTAGCGGAAGTCTAGGAAAAGCAGCTCATTGATCCAGCATTAGCACAGATGAAGGAGGCAGTTTTGAGTAACAAGACTTCGATATTTTCACTCGGTGGTGAGGATGGTGTATTACGATGTCAAGGTAGGCTATGTGTTCCAGATGTGGATAATCTTTGTGGGAGGGTAATGGCGTAGAATCATAATTCCAAGTATTCTGTGCACCCAGGTTCTACAAAAATATATTGTGATCTCAAGGAAATTTATTGGTGGAACGGTATGAAGAGGGGTGTGGCGGACTTTGTATCTAAATGTCTGAATTGTCAGCGAGTAAAAGCCGAGCACCAGCGGCCCGGTAGGTTAACTCAGCTTATGGAAATACCAATGTGGAAATGGGAGATGATCAACATGGATTTCGTGGTAGGGTTACCTCGCACCCAGCGCAAGTTCGACTTAATCTAGGTAATAGTGGATCGACTCACCAAATCAGCTCACTTCTTGCCAGTGAAGTCCACGTATACTGCGGAACAATATGCTCAATTGTATATCAAGGAAATAGTAAGGCTTCATGGCACTCCACTTTCTATCATCTCAGATCGAGGGGCCCAGTTCACAGCTAATTTTTGGAAGAGATTTCAGCAAGGTTTGGGTACTCAGGTGAATCTCAGCACGGCTTTCCATCAGCAGACTGATGGTCAAGCAAAGCGGACTATTCACACGCTTGAAGATATGTTACGGGCTTGTGCCTTGGATTTCAAAGGTAATTAGGATGATCACTTGCCACTTATAGAGTTTTCTTACAATAATAGCTTTCATGTTAGCATTCAGATGGCCCCATTTGAGGCATTGTACGGGAGGAGATGTAGGTCTTCGATTGGATGGTTCGAAGTGAGTGAAGCAAAATGTTACACCCCAAGTTTTCATACGTGAGAGTACGTCGTAAGTCATTGATATAAGCTCGGATATGAGATTATATTTGGAAGAAAATAAAGTAAGTTAATCATGTTACCTTGGAGGTTAAAAATATATAAGATCATGAATAACGAGTACCAAGAGGGTTGGAAATCTTAGAAGCTAAACCAATTGAAGAAAATAAGTTTCGTCAAAAGTCGACAAGTTTGGAATGTTATAACATGTACTTTGGGGTGAGACTAGGGTTATCACATGATAAGAAGGTTATTCTATGAGTTATTTTAGTAGTATGATATTCATTTTCTACATTTTGAAGGCAAGCAAGTTGTGGAACAAAAGTTGGCAAAGGTCATCACAAGTTACATTCATAAATTTGCTGAAATTTATGTCAAATGTATATGAGCATTTATCCAAATATACTTGGAATCATGGGGTGTTATACCTACCAAATTGAATATCTATGAGTCTAGTTTCTACCACATTAAACCGTTCGTCAATGCGACATCGGAGTAGAGAGGTATTCATGTTTTCGCGAGATCGTGCAAGCAGCTCCCAATGGGACCCACTTAGGCGGTGGTTGACCTACTTGAATTTATAAACGATT